CAGTAAATCCTTTATATACATGTATATATATTTGACGTGTACGGACCATGGTCTTGCTTGACAGAAATAGAACATCACTTGCAAATGTACGGGAAATAAGAGATACTAGACTTTGCATAATAGTAAAGCATTTTGGAATAGAATTTAGGCAAGCAAAAAAAAATCAGTTTTGTTTGTTTTTTATGGTTTGTTTAACTCATGGATGTAAATCGTCTGTGTATACCAAAAAAAGGTTTTAACATACTAAATGCCTTACATCTGTTTACCTATTAAATCTCTTCACACTGTGTTTATATGACAAGAAGTTACGAAAAGTGTCACACCTGAGTTCGTGTGATTTTGAATGGAAATAAAACAAAAGGCGTAAAAATAAAATATATTATCAAATTTTACTTTTGTTGATAAATTGTCATTTCATCACTTCAAGGATTTATAGTCTTACTATATAAATCCTTGATCACTTCAAGAAATATCTAACGGTCCAAAATGTTCATTTATGGAAGGGATTTAATCAGAAGTAATGTTTTAAGCAATTTATCAATTTGTGCACGATGGATAAGTTGTATTGTGAGAACAAAGTGAAACCAAAACATCTTTGCTAAATAAAATGTTGAAATTTTAACAAACTATTTTCTCATATAATATCACAAAAAAAATTTAAAAAGTAGTTTTTATTAAGAAGTTATTAAATTGTCATCATATTGGACTTATGCATGTCTTTGTATGAAACATTACATTATTATATAGTCGAAATGTTTCATTTTTTTTTATAGATTACTTTTAAATTATTCTATGTAGCACAACTGTTATTCGGTATTGTTGTCGAGAAAATGATCGCGAAAGAATAAGTAACGGTGGTATTGCAATTGGATCGTGAATGATCTAGTACAGGATCGTGATTGCAATAAGATTTCAAAATATGCGAAAAAAATATCAGTTGTATTATCATAAGGCGGTAAAAATCAGGAAAACAAGAAATATGTCTGTCAAAATTGATCAACATTTTGATCAGCATCTAAGAAAAATCAAAGTTTTAAATATCTTTATCCTGATGAACCCTTTTTAATACAATAGTAATACTATACAGAAGTTACATGAAATGAAAAGCACAGATATACATAAAATGAAAACATATAATATTAGTATGTACCATATTTACAATAAATAGAGTGACAGATTCAGCCAAGAGAACACACACATTAATTAATATGCCTTATAAATGTACTTCAAGTTGGATTTTTTTTCATATTGATTTCATAACTTCCTTAAATTTAATTGTATTTGGATAAGCAATCTACTTTTTATCAACCCTTTCTTTCTGTAGCCATAAATTTACACATCATTATGTAATGAAAATCACTCCAAGATCTTTTGATATCAAATTGTTCACGTATTATTTTATCTCTCTGATTTTTTTCCACCTATGGTAGTTTATGGTTAATCAGTGTAAATTGACAGAGAGTGTAAATATCCCGGGGTTCCAAAATGTCTGCTAAATATTTCTCAAAGTAAAAAAATCCCAATGCAATGTTTTCGGTTTCGTTTGAATATCTGAATACCATGTTTGTTTAATTTGATCTTGCAGAGATGTTTTAATAGTAGTCTTCAACCAAATTTCATTCATACAAGTTTTAACTAACCATATTATAGACTTCTGATAAGATGAAACTAGTTTCTTTAAGATTCTATACCTTTTATCCATTTAAAATTTACAAGTATTCCGCTTGTTCATTTCGAAAGCTATAAAGAGACACTAATCCGTGATTTCGGATTCCCAATCCGTGATCTCGGATTACTAATCCGTTATCTCGGATTCCCAATCCTTTTCTTTTCCTGATCAATAATCCGCGACCTCGGTTTCCAGTCCGTGATCATGTGTCATGTTCCCATATTAGATCATATTACGTGTCATGTTTGATGGTTGTTGAAAACTAATTATGTAACAAAAAATAACTTTACTTATAAATAATGAGTGATTGAAGATGTTTGCTGATCTTGTTTTTTATTTTTTGTCAGATATTCGAAATCTTCTGGTTTGATCCATGTTTGATAGTAAAATATAGCCTGATTTCTGTCCTGCGCATTACTTTGGTACCTTAGAACTTAAATTGACCAAACTTGGTATGCTGATGCATCATGGGAAAGGAATGTGTCAAATATTAAAGTCAGGTTATTCTGATTTTTACTTTGACCTTTGACCCCACGTGGCAGTTAACACGTTGTCTGATTTGTGTACGATGTGTAACTTTTGTATTCTCTGAAACTGACATTATCAAGATGCTTGATTTCTTGATTGACAACATATTTGTTACGTTTGGAGGACGTGTTTTTCAACAGACTGTCGGAATTCCAATGGGAACCAATTGTGCCCCTCTTCTTGTCGACTTGTTTCTTTATTATTATGAGGCTGACTTCATACAGGAACTTCTTAGGAAGAAAGATAACAAGTTAACAATATCCTTTAATTTTACGTTCCGCTATATAGATGATGTTCTCTCACTAAATAATACAAAATTTGGTGACAATGTTGAACGAATCTGTCCCATCGAACTAGAGATAAAGGATACTACAGATACAGTTAAGTCTGCCTCATATCTTGACTTACATCTAGAAATTGACAATGAGGGTCGGTTGAAAAAAAAAATTTACGACAAAAGAGATGATTTCAGCTTCCCAATTGTGAACTTTCCATTTCTATGTAGCAACATTCCAGCAGCGCCTGCATACGGAGTATATATCTCTCAATTGATACGATGTTCCCGGGCTGGTATTTCCTATCATGATTTCCTTGATAGAGGATTGCTGCTCACAAGGAAGCTATTAAACCAAGAGTTCCAAATGGTGAAGTTGAAATCATCCCTTCGTAAATTTTACGGACGCCATCACGAGTTGGTTGACCGTTATGGAATAACCGTTTCACAGATGATATCGGATATGTTCCTTATGTCGTAACTACAGTACCCTTCCCTTTTCACGAATGTGACCTACCGAATTAGACTATTTACCGGATTTGTAATAACATAAGCAACACGACGGGTGCCACATGTGGAGCAGGATCTGAGATCACCCCCAGTTTTTGGTGGGGTTCGTGTTGCTTAGTCTTTAGTTTTCTATGTTGTGTCATCTGTACTATTATTTGTCTGTTTGTCTTTTTATTTTTGACCATGGCGTTGTCAGTTTGTTTTCGATCTATGAGTTTGACTGTCCCTCTGGTGTCTCTCGTCCCTCTTTTGTACCGTAACACTTACATTGACAAAACTGTGTATGTAGAAGAATAATGCGATCGGGATAGATGTGACAAATACCAAAATCAGGTCACTCTGACCTTGACCTTAAAGTTCCTCATAAATACACCAGAAACATTCTCTAATCCCAGTAGATTCACAATTGAAATTGTTTGATTCATAAGTTGAAACTTTTCTTGTGGGCGACCGTGTGAAGGTTTCGGTTTTGAAAATTTAAATAGTTTTGAGAAGGTACTAGTAAATTGAAATTTATAGATTACTGATGCTTAGATCAAATTCTAATGCATAGTCTTTCTTTATCATGGAAAACGAAGATTTTGTCACACATCGTTTTTAGTTTGCCATTCAATTATTCTAAGTCGCAGAAATTAAAGATTCATAGAAAAACAGAAAAGAGCATGGTAAAAAAAAAGAAAAACAACTGTTCACAAACACTACGCAGAAAACTAGATATTAAAAAAAAAACTCCACCGAAAAACTGATAGAATGCGTAATGATTTTATGTGATGAATTGATAGATCATATCTTTTCTTTTCGATCATGTGGTTCGGAGGGATCACCTGCGCCACTAGTGACACTAGCCGTGGCTATTGTTATAACTCATTCATAAACAAGTCATTTTTAGATTAGACACCTTACAATAGCGGTTGATAAATGTTTCTTGTATAATCTTAGGACAACACAAATTACAAAAACATAGGCACATATTCATTCTGTATATTTCTATAATTTGAAATTAAACAAGGACAATGAATAAGGGAACAAGACGTATAGGGAACACAAACATTGAAAAATAAAATAGCACAGAAAAAACAACTGAAAAAAACCAAAGCAAAAAGTAGTCCATGAGCTCTTTAGAATTGAATAAAAGAACAGAGTTCCAATGTCCCTCGCTTTGCACATATTTTATCTGTTCTGTCCAAGGGCAATAATTGAAAAAAAAAATAAATTGTTCTTTAAACTTTTTAAAATTATCTTAATAGAGAGTTGGAGACTTGAGAGCAATTTCCGATATAATTAAAATAATTCTTAGGGAAACTCATTAAAAATATTTGATCGGCACTTATTTTAGAAATTTTCCGATACATTGCTGTCATATACCCTTGATATGAGTTTCATAAAAATCTGGCAGAAATTGTACAACAATACAAATTTCCATATAATTTATATTTCTAACGAGCATTACTCTTTTAAAAAAAGTTGATCGGAACTGGTTTTTGAACTCGCCTGAGACATTGCTGATATAAACCTACAATATGAGTTTCATAAAAATCTGGCAAGAATTGTACACATGAGATCGATAACGATGCAATTTTCCATATAATTAATGTTTCCAAGGGGCATAACTCTTAAAAATATTTGATCGGCTCTGATTTTCGATCTGGGCCGAGACATTGATGATATAAAACTATAATATAAGTTTCATGAAAATCCAGAATTGTACACATGAGAGCGTTAACAAGACCGGCCGGTATTTCTATGTCCCCCGCAACGCGTTGTGCTGGGGACAACTTGGGTTGACCATATGTGCTCCGGAAGGGTAAGCAGTTCCTGCTCTACTAGTAGCATTCGTCATGTTGCTTATTGCAAATAAAACATCTGTGACAAGTCGCATTCGGTGATGTCAAAATCGAGGTCGGGGTGAAAAAGATAAATAATGAATAAAATTCGAAATTAATTTAAAGTAACGTGTACTAAGGTTTTATATGACTACTTGGCGTTAATCTTGGCATATTTACAATAAATAACAGACAATTTGAAAAGTAAATGTGATTTTATAAATATACACAAAATAACAATTGCAAAACAAAGCACCAAATCTTACTCATACAGGTCAATGATCTATATATTCCCCTAATCACCAAAACGAATGTTTTTTTTTCTCACTAAATCAGAAAATCAAAACGGCTGTTATTTTCACTTGATACGTATAACTTTTCTGGTGTCAATTCTACCAGAGAATGCCGGACACAATAGCACCACAATGTTAAAGCACCAAACTATCTCTAGCGATCCAATTTCAACTTTTGATATTTGTTTTAAGTTGAGCGGAGTATCTTCTATGTAAGTTAGACATAGTCTTTTCCCGACGTCTCTCCTCAAGTGTTGCAATTTTTCTTCGTCTATATTTCGTTTCTGCGTCAGAAGAATCTTCACTGCCGTCAAAAGAAAGTTCACTAATACATTCATCTGATGAATTACCGTCTGATCTATAGTCGAACCTTTTTACACATCCTGATCTATAGTCAAACCTTTTCACACATCCGGCTGCAGTTTGTCGAATTCTTGATTTCTCTTGTTTAAGAAATTCCGGAGTTTTTAGTTCTTTTACCAAAGGAGATTTTTTACGGATGTCTGCTAGTTCTTGTTTTAAATTTTGCTTTTCCTTTCGTAATTGCAACTCTTTCCTCTGCTGCATTTTTTCAATGTCTGTTAAATGTGATTTCATCCGATTATTTGCTCCTTTGTTACATTTTTCTGCGTATTCTATATCCATAGATTTCCCCTTAGGTGGAACATTAAGGACAACAACTAAATTTGCCATCTTCTAAGTTTTATGTTGCCTGATAATTTCTTTCGTTAAAGTGAAAAATAAAATGCGTTGGTCAATATTTATACCTTGAAATAAGATCTCCTTCAGTCTAAATATCTCCTGGACTGTTCGAGGGACATCTCCGTAACACAGTCTAATGGGGTTGATCTCCCGGAGAGCTCTACAATGAAACCGGAGAATATTTACAATTGAAAGTAGTGATCCTTCATTAAAAGGTGAACGGAACAATGAGTAATTTGTCAAGGAACAAGAAACAATATATTTGTATTAAATGTCGCACCAAAGAATAATCCTTTAATACGTAAAGATTTATTGTTGTTTAACAGTTACAATTCCCTTGCACTTTTTAAATAAATAATATGTAAGCTGATCCTTTAATTGATGGATCACCGAATGACAAAACACAAAAGAACCTAACGCCACCTGAAGACCCAGCGGAATAACAAATACTGCATACCTACTTACATGTTTCGAGGCATCCATACAAAAGCATGCCGATAATATTTGTTTTGAAGCAATTACATTTCATTTGAACAGTAGATTAAATATTTACTTTTATTTTCTTTAAAGTTTGACAAAATAATGATATTATCAGAGTAAAACATTAATTTAAAATATCTTGTAATATTTATCTTATAAGTTGCGTGATAAATTGTATTTCAACCCGTTCATTCAGTTCACATTAAACATGCAATAATGCCTTTAACTCTTTATTTTAATTGATTTAACCTGACAGCGATTTTATTTGAAATATATTGGAAATGTCTAACACTAATAAAGAATCCCCGTCTATAGATATGAATACATTTTACGAATATTTTTAAGGATTTAAATGCTGGAGAAGAAGGAGATTCATATACTCCAATTTATGATGATAATCCTGGATGAGAACAAACAGAATTAGAAGTTTTGGAAGTGGGGAAGAATTTAAAAAATAACAAGACTCTTGGTTCCGATAAAATCCTGAATGAATATTTGAAAAATTCAACCCAGTTTTTGTATTCTTTTGCTATAAATTATCTAATATTGTATTAGATACTGGAATTATAAAAGACACTTGGGCAAATGGCATTATTAAACCTGTGTTCAATAAAGAGTTGCGCCATGAACGCATGATACGCCCGTCGCTTTTACAACAATAAAGTTCCATAATTACTCAATGCCATATCAGAAATTTATAAAAACTAAAGTGAGCTTATTTTAATAGATATAAACACAGTCACCAAAGTTTTATGAAGACTGCTCAAAGCGTTTTTGAGTTATTATCCGACATTTTGACGACGGACGGACGGAAGGACAACGGTAACCATAATACGTCCCGTAAACGGGCGTATAAAAATAAGGATAATGCTATAGACCTTGATAATTATTGAGCTATTACACCAATCTATTGTTGAAAGTGAAAGTAGTGATTTGGCAAAAGTGAAAGTAGGGTAGAAATTAGCCTTCAGCATTTATTCAAGATTCAACTCCTACCATTTGCATGTTTTTATGGCTCTCAAAAGAGAAAGAGCAGCGATGGGTTGTACTGGGACAAGCATATATTATTAGAAAAATAATCTAAGCAATAAAATGTATTCATGTTTAAACCGGTGCAATTTTCTAATTCAGTTTGACTTTTACAAAGAAATGCATTGTAACCAATGGTAAAAACAAATGTAGTATGAGGTCTTATTGGTGTTAGACAAGGAGAAAACTTGTCTCTTTTTCTATTTTCGATTTTCTTAAACGATCTTAAACAAAATTTTAGAAATCCAGAAAGTCTTCCTTTAGAACCCTTTTTAAAGTAAAATTTGAAAACGAAATTCATCTTTGAATTTTTCGTAGTATTGTATGCTGGGGCCTGGTTTTCGAAAGTATCCTAAGATATGTCATTAGATATATCTTAAGACAAACTTTATGACTTTCTTATGACTATCATATGATAAGTCATAGAATATAAATGAAAGCTGTCCTAAGATAGTCATACCTATGATGCTCTTATGACTGTCATATATAGTGAACATATGTTCTTTTATTGTGAATAATGATTAAAAAATGATGAAAATAGTTAAGGAAATAATAAGTATGAAAATAATAATTAGCACCATCCTTATTAATAACGAATATCTTATTTTTTCATTATAATGAACATGAAATTATAATAGTATATGAAAAAGAACTAAAATCCGAGTTGATAATGTGTTTAAATTTATTTTGTATATATATATGTATATAATAAAATTCTAGAACTTCGTATTCATGTATTATTATACATGAAATATTATTTACTTGTGAGTACTTTTAAGATTTGGTACATCGAGTATCGGGTCCCGCTAAAAACGAACTGCTCGTGCAAATACGTTAATAAACTACATAATCATGAGTAAAGAGGGAGTTCGAATTTTACGTCGAAGGAGATTTAAATTTTAATTGAAAAAGTGAAAAAGAATAAATCTTTACTATTTATCAGACTGAGCAAGAAACAGTGCCAATACAAGAGCACGGGAGGCTGCATGTGCAAAGATAAATTCAATAAATTCCTGTCGTAACTTTAATAATAATCGTAAGACCATCATAAGTCATGTCGCGAGGTGTCTTTAAGTTTACGATATAAGTTATGACATATCGTAACTTGGGACACTTTCGAAAATACATCTCACGACTATGACATGTCCTAAGACCATCTTAAGACATGTCTTAGTCCTAAGATACTTTCGAAAACCAGGTCCCTGATGTATATGATAGTCATGTTTTCAGAAACAAACGAAAGTGCAAAATTCCTTAGATATTGTAAAGGTAATTGCGAAAAATAGAAACTAAAAGTTAATATAAAGAAAACTAAAGTTATTGAATTTAGCAAGAGGAAAACTCTGAAAGTTAGAAACACTACGCTTAATTTCATCGTTTATGGAGAATGGAAAGATTTCTTCTTGAGATAAAGGTGATTTTTTTACTTCAGAGTATAAGCATATCTTTCGGTTCCGGTTTGGCGGACACATTTTTGGAAAGCTGAGAGTAATGATTTAATGAGAAATAGTATTTAAAAGTAGTATAGTGACATTATCAACTAGTATAGGGACCATAGTAATGACTTTTTGAGAGAATTTGAAGTTAAGTCCTAGAGATAGAGCCAATTTCTCGCCTGTAAACAGTAGCCGACATTTTGAAAATTTTTGTTCGGAATAAATTTTAATGAGTTTGAGTGGCTAAAAACAATATAGTGACACTTAAAATTAGTAGAAGAAACAAAATAAGGACTTTTTGAGAAAATTTAGGGTTACACACGATTGTAAACATTGACCATCATTTTGAAAATTTTGATTGGAATAAACATTCATAACGCCGAGGGATGAAGATTCCAGGAAACAGAGATGATCGTCAAGTTCTATTTTGAAAGGAACAAAGGGAGCAGAGAAAGGGAAAGAAGGTTTGAAGTGTTCCATATGTACAAATGACTTTACGAAAAGTAGAGGTTATTTGGTTAAGAATGGTTCAGACTGGTCGAGTATTGTTCAAACCTATGGTCGAGTATGGTTCAGACTGAAAAAATAGGTCGAGAACTGGTCAAGTATTGGTCGAGTTCAGGTCGAGAATGGGTTAAGACTGTTTCACACTGGTTGAGTAATAGTTCAGACTATTTTCAATAGCAAAGATAAGGGTCAAATACAAATCAGTACAGTCGAGTATGGTTAAGATTGGGGTCGAGTAATATCAAGTAAAATTCAAACCAATTCAGACTGGTCGAGTAAAAATCAGTACAGTCAAGTACAGATATAGGCCATTTCAGACTTTTACTGGTTTGTAGTGTTAATGATAATGAAACTTCTGGGAAAGTCATATATGTAGTAAGAAACCCCCCGTTGGAGAGAAAAGTGGTCAAATTCAAAATAAAAGAAACGTAAAAAAAGAAAAACGTAAAAAAACCAGCTCAGTGTTTTAACAATAGTTCTGGTGGATTGGATTTTAATGTAAATTAACAGAGTTTGAAATGTATATACACGAATGCAGACAGTTTTTGAAACAAATTTGGCGAATTTAAGCAGATATATGTATAAGGAGAGATACACTAGATAGCATAGCTATAGCAGAAGTGGCACCGAAAAATACAAGATACACTATAAATAAAGCCGAACAAGAAATATCAGGTGATGATTTCTTTCCAGGAGGCTTCCCATTAGATGCCAAACGTAGAATTGTAGTATATGCAAAGAAAACTTTAAATGCAGTTGAAGTAAAAATTGACACTAACATTTAGGAAAGTATATGGATTAAGATAAATCTTAAGTGGAATGATAAACTGTAGACAGAAGTCCGTCTTTAGTGAGAGCAGAATGGACTGCAAAGGAAGAAACAAGTATTGCATTTCTAGAATGTATTAGAGATAAATATTTGTATCAGGTAATATATCAGCAAACAAGGGAGAATCTGCAAAAACAAACAATAGTTTTTTCTGCTTCATATCGATCTGATGAGTTAAGCTTTTTTCAACTGATTTTTATAGTTTGTTCTTATGTTGTGCTGCAACAACACTGTCACAGGTTAGGGGGAGGGTTGAGCTCTCACAAACATGTTTAACCCCACCATATTCTTTATTTGCCTGTCCCAAGTCAGGAACCTGTAGCTTAGTGGTTGTCGTTGGTTCATGTCTGTCATGTTTGTTTTTCTTAGATTGTTTTGTTATAATATAAGCCGTTAGTTTTCTCAATTGAATTGTTTCATATTTTTCATGTCGGGACCTTTTATAGCCGACTATACGGTATGGGGTTTTCTCTTTTTTGAAGGCCGTACAGTTGCCTATAACTGCTTACATCCACTTCATTTGAACTTGGGTGGATAGTTGTCTCATCGGCAATCATACCACATCTCCTTATTTTTTTATAATAAGATTTTTTGGAAATTTGTTAACGCCAAGAGGAAATGTAAAAGTGGTGTTTCTGAACTACATAAGACAGATAAAGGTACTTATATAGCTAGCTGTGATAACAATAAGGCTGAAATTTTAGCAAATTGTATCAGTAGTGTCTTTACTAAGGAGGAGGTTGATGATTTACAAAATATGAATGCTATAAATGAGACTATAAATGATGTAGAGTTCATCACACAAGAAGAGATCAGATAATTATAAAAATGAGGAGATGTGGTTTGATTGTCAATGAGACAACTATCCACCAAAGTCAAATGAAGTGGATGTAAGCAAATAAAGGCAACCCTTCGGC